GTCCGGCCCCTCCCCAAGGCACTCGGCAAACCCCGGGGATACGGGGTCGTCTGGAGAGAGCGAAGAGAAGTAGGGGTCTTCTGCTGAGCAGCAGTGAGGGTAAAGGCATCGCCCGGGGCTGCTGCGGCTCCGGGGGCCGTTGGCATCTCGGCTCGAGGGGTTCAGCTCGGCAGGGGAAAGTCTGTGCTGCTTCTTCACCTGGAAGCTCGAGTGACCGGCACTTGGCAACCGCGGCCCCAAGCCAGGCTCTGTGCCCTCTCCGCCCTGTTCCCAGCCCTCTCCCTGCTGCGCCAGCACAAAGGGGGTGGATGTGGTCCGTGCCAGAGGGGGTCTGCCATGAGGCCCTCTCCCACCCGCTCCCTTCGGTTCCAGGTGCAGAAGCAGCTCCTCGGGACAGATGCTGTTGAGCTCCAAACTGCGGTGTCTCTGAAGAGCATCCCCAGCACCCCACCTCTCCGCGGCAGCTGCCTTCCTGCAGCTGGGGAAGTTCAAAATGCCAAAGGAGATGGCCTGTCTGATGGGAGGGACTCCATGTCCAGAACTGCCGTGTACGTCCATGGCAGATGACGATGTCGGGGACGCTTTGCTTTGTACCTCTGGAGGAAGACGTTGGTGCACATCCTGTTCCTCTTGCTCTGAGCTGCAATAAAGCACCGTGATGTGAGTCAAAGCCATCGAGCACTCAGAAACCTCTGTTAACCTACTAACATCGCTCCTCAGAGCAGATCCACCAACGCAGAGCCCGGTTCAGCCTCACGTGAGGAGCACAGGGAAGGGCTGTGCACCGCGGTGCCCCATTTGAACACCATTACATGGTGAACAGAGCAGCCCCTTTACACAGGTAAACGACACTCTCCGTGCAGACTGCACCAAAAAGCAAAATTATTTACAGAACACAGGCACTGCAAACCAAAACATGCCCACAGGAAGATCCCACCACCCTCTGAAGCTGCCCATGTTGGGATGCTTGTGCTCAGCCTTACCAGGTTAGTAATCTCAGAGAATAAATATCTTCCACCGGCGTGCGAAGCGGCTTGGCTGCAGGATGCCTTGTTTGCACCTGGTGAAAGAAAAGGTTGGAAAACAAGAGTGAGGAGTAAGAGCGTGAAGAACACAAAGATGCTATTTCAGGAGCTGGAATTTGTGCCAGCTGCCTTTAATTATTCATGCAGTTTGGGGACAACAAACACCAACTTAAAAATGCCAAGTTGGAGCTGAAAACTGAGGGCAGAAGCTCCTGGACCGCAATTCCCATCAGCACATTTTTGCAATGAGAGTACAGCGAGCTGTACAGCCATCCAGCTGCTGCAAACACCTGCCAACAGCCCGTGCCCACAGCTCTGCCCCGCGCCCACGCCGGCGGTCAGCGCGGCGCGGCGGACGCTGGCTCCGCGTGTGACCCTGCAGCCTGCGACATCCCCCGCGCTCTGCAGAGGGCTCTCAAAGGGGCACTGAGGTTTAGGTGGGCGAGAGGTTTGGCCAGGAGCTACAAAGCCACATCCGGGCTTGAACCGTTTTCTGCATTTTGTGTCAACCTCGTCCTGCATGTCCTGTGCTACAGGCTGCCCACCACACGTAGAAAGAGGCTCTTTTCTCACTCAGCTCGGGCTCGGAACGTCCTGCAAATCCTATGGCAAAACTGAGGCACGAGTCTCAGTGCAGGATCCCGTTCCCAATGCTTTAGACAAAGCAGCTGACTGCAACCTTTCAGCCTTGCTGAGAATGGCAATGCAGCTCCTTCAGCCAGGTCGCCAACAGCCACGCAGGAAAGGTAAGGTTCCTTCCAGCGGTCACAGAAGAACAGCAAGAGCAAACAAAAGCTTAACCATGGATGTTTTGGATGTCCCTGTTTATATGCAACTTCATACCAAGACCACATTGTTTTTCCTTGGAGGCATATCAGATTTGAAAGACTTTGACATGTTTTTTCAGAAGAATTTTAGCCTACTCTCTGCCACGGACAGGCTGCAATGCCAATTACCTCTCTAGAATGCCACCATGCTGCAGAATTTTAACACTTTTAGCCGCACTGTCTTGTGCACCCCAGCTTCCCAACCAGCACCGAAAGCCACTCTGTGGCTCGCAAGCACTCCACAAAGACACGTTTCTCTGGCACGTCCAGGTGGAGATCAACCACTACTGTAGAAAGTCGGTGCTTTTCTATTCAGTCATTACATTAAACAATTATAAAAGTATGTAGAAAATGGTTTTGAGACCAAAGAAAATTCAAGTTAACTTGAAAAGAGGCTCAGTTTGGGCATCAAGGGTATCAAGCAGAACAGAGGGTGATTCACTGCAGGTCTGCAGAGGAGAGCTCTGCGGCAGGGATCTGCGTTGGAGCTGGTGTGCCTGAGGCTGCGAGAGGCAGCGTGGGTATCCGGGGGGTTTTACCTGGGAAGCAGCAGCATCTTCCTGGGCATCGAGTGCTTTAATCTGCCGTTTGAAGAGCTCGATCACCACATCATAAACCAGCTCATACTGCTCCTGCGTTCCAGACAAAGAAAACAGATGTGAGAGCAGCACCTGCGGTGCTGGTAACTGGTCACTTGTCACCCAGATCAAGCACCAGCCCCCGAGAGAAGCTGCCGCTTTCCAGCCCGCTGGCAGGGTGCGTTCTCAGAAGAGGGAGAAGCCACAACTTTCAAAGGGTTCAGACTGAAACATTTGGGGTTTTTTTGGGTGCGCAAACAACGCTGTTCTGCATTGAGCTTCCTCTTCAGTCTGTCTCAACTGAGAAGAGTTCCCAACTTCAGTTCCTGGACGGTCCCTTGTCTGGCAGCACTGAGCTGTTCCTGCTGTCTGCAAGGAAACGCTCAGCTACCAAATTCATTTCTGCAAATCATTCTTCTGGGCAGAAAAGGGACCTTGTGGAACATCTACCCGCCCCAGTCCCTGGCAGCACCACCGCTCTGTCTTTCCTTACTGCAAACCCTCCCGGGGAAGAGCCGAGGTCCCGGTACGGAGAGTTCGCTGGTTGGCCAAACTTCCCAGACCTACCTTGGTCTGCACTATGGAAGGCCTTTGTGTGCGCATTTCCTGGATCAGACTGAAAATACTGAAGTTCACTGGAACAATCTTGCAAGAAAGAGAAAAGACAAAAAATTAGAGACAGGTCTAATTCCAAGCAGCTTCCAAGTTGTGACTCACTTTAGAGCAGTGTCTGAAATTCAGGCCTGCTGTTGCAAGAGTTTTTAACAAAAGACCTGCTTAACGTGCCTTTTTTGTTATGAGCTACCTTGCCTCCTCCTTCCTGCCTTGCACTCCCCAGAAAATAACCCTTTTCCTAACAGTGTTGGTAACAGCTGTGGATAGCACGAAGGCAAGACGCAGCTTTCCCGGGTCGGTGGGTGCTGCGGTACAGAAAGCAGCCGCTGCTCAGCCCCAGCGACCTGCTGCACGGCCAGAGATTACTGCACTGTTAAAACATGCGTTTTTATCGAAGGGTCGCAGTAAAGCGAGGTGTTGGTTTGGAAACCCTGGGCTTCTGATGCTGAAGTGCGGAGAGACAAGCACAGGCAGTAAACTCGTACTGAAAACCAAAGGCCAGCACGGAGCCGAGCCCCTGATGGGAGGGTCCTGCCAGAGGGAGCAACGGGCGACAGGATTCTGTCCCGTCGATACAAGCACTGGGGGCTGTTTGCACCGGGATGGGGAGGGAGCGGTGGCAAGGGACAGGGCATGGATGGCACGGAGCCTGAAGAGAGAGAAGCCGCCGGAACTGGGAATGGGATATCAGCGGTTCGGCCGCCGCCGTTCTGCAGCGAGGCTGCGGGGAGCTCCCGCGCACGGCTGCCCTCCGAAATGCATCCGCACGCAGCCGGTGGGAGGTGAGGGGGGAGCGAGGGGAGAGAGCCGGCGAGGGAGGGACAGAGGGGCAGCGGTGCTGCACGCGGGCGCCGTTGGAAGGTGCAGACTGGGCTGGCACTCACCCCGTCCTTCAGCAGCTTCTGGGTGTAGTCGATGGCACAGATGACTCCGGGTCTCCCGCAGCCGGCACTGCCACGGACGGGGCAGCGTTTTCCAACACGGATGTTTGAAAAGGATCCACCACCTCCTGCGACCCTCCCGCCCCACAGCACGGAGAGAGCAGACCCGCGTGATGACCCTCCTGCTCCCGCTGCAGCTCCACCTGCCCCCGTAAGGCTCCACGTGCCCACGGCCCTGCCGCGGGCTGCTGCAAACAGTGCGCAGTCCTGCCACGGTGACCAGCGCGCGTGGACGTGCCCAGTGTCAGTGGTCTCTTAACGACACGTGCTACTGCCCCTTCCCTGCCACCCACCGTGCCAGCTGTCCACAGAGGACACCTTTGCAGTAGGACTTCCTGCAAGAGGAGCTGGCTGAGGGCTCGTGCCAGCTGCCATCCGCCCCGCGGCTGCCTGGGAAGCGAGAGCGTGGCGGGCCGGGGGCCAGTGACCGGCTCACCCACCTGCAGTGGATGCAGATGGGGATGTTGTCGTCCGGCTGGTAGCGGCGAATCTCGCCGATGAGCTCCAGGATGGGGTCGATGGACGAGGGGACGTCATGGTCTGGCCAGTTTGTATAGTGGAACTGGTGGACGGTGCGGATTCCCTGCAAGAGGAGGAGCGCGCTGGCGGGGGCCGGGCCGGACGCACCACCGAGGGCTTTGCTGCCGCAGTTCCCGCGGGTGCAAACCGGGACGTCGTCGTGGCACGGCGAGGCTGGCATGCTGCAGGCATCTCCAGTGCCCATCTGCACCAGTAGGCAGAGGTCAGAGCAGCGATTTGCAGCTGTTCTTGCTACCAAAGGAGCGTTGCCGCTCTGCGACGTTCTTGACGTTACCTGTTGGCCTCGTTTACGCAGGGTCCGATTCGCCGCCACTGACAAACAGCGCCGGGAACTGAGGTTTGAGTTAATTAATGTTTTACTTTCTTCGTGCTGTCAAACCCAACGTAGCAGGCTGAGCAGCGTAAAATTTTCTGCACGAAGTGTGCCATGTTTTAATGTGTTATTTAAATAATAAAGCAAGCCAAGACGCATTTCCTGCCTTCACCTTTCCTGCTTACCTCATTCAGGGTCACCTTTAAAGTCCTAATCACATACTCATTTTTCTTCTCTTCGGCTTCCTGCAGAACGAGAGGTCAGAGTCACGTTTTCTGCAGGTGACACGAGCTCCCAGCGCCCGTGATGCGCCGCGGTGCTGGCGGCAGCGGTACTCACGCAGGCGACGGAGAAAGGGCCGCACTGCAGGGGAGAGCCGCCCGCCTCTGCCCAGTACCGCTCACATTTCTTCTGTTGCGAGAAGCGGGACACGTCTGTTACTCACCACCGTCCCCCCCGCGCTTCTCCCGTCTCCCCCCGCAGCACACAGCTCCTGCTGGGAGGGGGCCCGACTCCTGCTGCTGCCCCACTCCAGCCTCCCCTTCCCTGGAGCCATCGGTGCTGGTTTTTCCCTCCCACGGGGGCTAGCTACGCTACTGGAGACAGTTTAAGAATCTGCAGCTGGAGGCTCAGGAAATCAGACAGAAACTCACTGTCACTAATGAGGTTTAATAAAAATCTGCAGCTCTTCCCCCTGCCCTGGCCACCGCTGACACGTTACTCACCTTCCCCATTTCAAACTCCATGCAAGCCATGACCACAACCTGCGGGAAGAAGATTCCTTAGAAAAGTCTGAGCAGCAGTTTCTCATCCAGCCAGCAAAATCAAACCCATCACTTAGCAGGAGTGAGGAGGTTCTGTGCCTTCCCCAGAGCCCCGGACTGCTACGCAAACCAAACCTGGGACATCACCCACAGCCCAGGCACGAGACCTTTCCCACTCAGCCTGAGCACAGCGAGCCACGAGCAGACCCGTCTCAGGATGAGTGTGGAGGAGCTCACGGGAAGGGTGACGTTCCCACTCTCTGCTTAGTCAAAAAGGACTTCTGGCTGGCTGTACGGACAAATTTTCTTTTTCATAAAAAGAAAGGCTTATAAATCTGCACCTTACCAGGACTTCATACTCCCAAATCATCCTCCAAAAGTCAATGACAGTAGTGGGGAGAGGACCCTGGGTTGCAATGTATGCTCTTGGCCCATAGACACCCTGAAACAGCATTGAAATCAGACACGAAGACACCTTTGCTTAGTTCATTAGCAGAAATAAAGTCATTCCTCTTACTGAAGCTTCCTTCTTTTCAATGATCCCATTAAGGATTTAGAAGGGCTTTTATATAGTCAAATTTTAGGCACCTACATTAAATTAAGAAACCAGAAACCAGTGGTGTACCATTGGTTTCCCGAGAAGGGTCAGGAGCACCAGAGAGTTCCAGAACACTCAGAGCTCCTGCTGGAGAACGCGCCTGCATTGCCCTGCGCTGCTGCTGGCCGCGGCAGCGGGTCTCAGCTGTCTGCAGTGCACGGTTTCCTGCCCGTGTGCCGGTGTCAAGCGTGGTGACTCTGGCCACAGGCAATCTTGCACCACTCACCCACCAAAGGCAGTAGCACCGACCAGGAAATCGGGGCTGTGAGCCACAAATTGTTCCACCACCCACCCCAACACGAGCGCACGTGTGCCTTGTCCTGCAGCCTGGTGCCTTTGTGCTGCAGGGGTGTTTTGAAGGGCTCGCTGACTGTGCACATGTTCTTTACACCCGTTATCCTTGAGCACAACCCAAAAACTACTGCAGGGAGCCAGAGCTTCTCACCAGAGCCACAGGACCTGCTCCTCCTGGCACAACTCAACCAGGCAGCACTAACAGCTGCTCAAACACCTTTGTGCTGCAAAACACCACGAAAGAAGCGATACCTTGATGAAGTTGGCGTTGATGTAGTGAGAATCTTCATCTGATGTAATCAGGGACAGCTCCACTCTGCTGTGATCAACTGCAGGCACAAAAGCAGAAGCAGCAGCAGTTATGTTTGTCTTTCCCGGTACCTGAGCCCCTCAGGCTGCAGCACGAGGTGCTTTGGAGGAGCACATACAGCTCATGCCCCTCCTGTGCCCACCGACAGCCCTGCACAGAGCTGCCGTGCTGGCACCGAGCAGCAGGATTGCTCCTTCAGTGGTGGTGAGGGCTGCGGCAGGGGGCGCCCGGGGTGCCCGAACTCTCCTCTAACCGTGGAGCGAGCCGAGCCTAATGGCACCCTGCGCTCCAGCTTACAGGCTCAAGTGGGGATGTGGGTTTAGATTATGTTTTTTTCAAGCCAGAATGGATGAAAGGGACAGTTTGCTCTGATCTTAGGACAAGCTCTCCTTTGGACACTACTGCATCTAGCCAGGACAAGCCACAACAGTTTTTGCCTGTAGTCTGCTTTGTACATCACGGAGACATCCTTGTCCAAAGCCGTTCTCTACAAGGCCTTGGGAAACAAGTGGTTGCAATGCTACCCAGAGAGCTTGCCAGGATAATCACGAGAGGATGTGTTTCCTACTGGACAGAAGTTCTTCTGCCAAAGTACTGCGACTGTCAAAGATAAAGCCCAAAACCTGAAGAGCAGAATTCGAGGCCAGCTGAGAGCCAGCAGCACGCTCACACGCAAGCGCTGGCAGACGCTGCAGGATAGAACAGGCTCAGGCTTGGGGAAAAAAAAGGGGTGAACAGGAACATTTGCCATTTCCAACTTACAGGGTAAGATGTCCTTGTATCTGTTCTTCTTGATGTTCTCTGGTTGCTCAGATGCTGCTGTAGGGTAGATTTTATCTGATCTGTACTTTGTTGACTGCCTTTTCAGCTTCTGTGATAAAAGAATGGAACAAATTAGAGCAGATGTGCTACATACAACACACCACTAGAGAGTGCGTGACGGTCCCTCGGGGTCAGGCTCGCTACCACAAAGCACGGTCTGCACCAGTAATTCTTTCCTGAGTGGCTTTTCTCAAGGTACTCAGAGCAAGAAGAGAGACAGAAGCCACCCCAGAGTCCCAGCACAGACTTCTGAAGAGTGGAAAGTGTGTGCTGAGGCAGTGCCCACACCGGGCTGGGCACGGAGGCTTCGGAAGTGAGATGATGCATTTGTACGGTGCATAAAGCATCACCCTCACAAGTCAGTGAGACACAGGGGAATCATTCTCAGCACGAATGGCACCCAGACAGAGGAAGAACAATGTTAAGCCACCTTTAACAAATGATATCAGAAAAGACAGATAAATCGATTTTTCTCACTGTGGTAAAGGTGCTCCCTTGTGTATCTGCAAACAGCAGCCTCAGCGACCGAAGGAGCAAAGCAGCGACATGCACTGATGAAAGAGAGAGGAGGAGAAGTCCTGGGACAGCCCCTCGGGGGTATGGGTCTCTTGTCTCTCATTTCCAGCATAAAGCTGCAGCACTTCTGCTGAACTGGAGAGTTCAAGCATATTTTTCCTACCAAGGCACAGAATTTTATTTCACTGACCTCAGCTTCTAAATAACACAAGTTTGTACCATCAACTTCGAAAGCACCACTCCTGCTGTATTTTTTCTTCCATAATTTTTGTCTTCCTAACCGCTTTTATTGCCACCAAGGGTTGCTTTTGATTTGAAACGAAAGGCCACTCCTCTAACCAGTGTCTCTACGGTTCGACACTCTGAAAGCAAGTGTCCCTTTCCCACCCCGCCGGAGCCGTACCTTCGCAGCCCTTCTCCTGGACATCACCACCGGCACCCCGAGAACCGGGCTGGCACAGGAGAGCCCTCGGGACCGTGTGCCATCATGAAGGAAAGGTGTGCAGGGGTGAGGAGCAAAGGGAAAGGACCACGGGCACACCTGGGCTGCAAGGTGGAGGGTTTCTCATGCCTCGCGCACACCTCAGGGTGACCCACCAGAGCTGCCAAAAGGAAGAGGGGATGGTGGCTCAGTCGCTCACGGTGCGGGGATGAACAGCCCCCGACTGCAGGGTCACGGAGCCAAAACAGTGCCGTGGCCAAAGGGGTGAGTGCCATGGGGGTGGCAGATCCTCCTGCTGGCACCAGCAGAGACCTCCCCGGCGTGTGCCAGGGCGCGGGGGCTGCGGCGCTGCCACCACAGCACATCAGCAGGAGCCATGGGAGTCCCAAAAGTTCCAGGGCCTGGATTTTTGGGTGCTCACCATAAATCGCTTTGAGAGTCAGCGCACCAGTGACCTCCCCGTGGGAGCTCGTAAGCGTCTGCGTTTCAGCTCTCCCAAAAGCTCTCATCCAGTTTTGAGAATCCTGTCTCCATCCTTCCCTGCTGCAGATCCAACATATTAGCAGCTGCAGGAGAGCTGCAAAATTCCCCTTGACTCCAGCCTGCTGGAGACGAGCACCCACCGGGACATGGCGCCCTCGGGGCCGCACGCGTTCAGCTGCAGAACGGGGACGTTCGCCCAAATGCCACGCCAGGGGCTGGGGGCCGCTGTGGCTCGCAGTAGCTGGCCAAGCCAGGCAGCCCGTTGGCAGCACCACCGATAAAAGGTGTGTACAGCAACACGTGTCTCATCTCCGCAGTATTTGTGTGCACAGATGCTCCAATTCAGATCCCAGAGTTGCTGGTTTTTAACATTAAACTGCAAATTTTAAACCCTGAATTCTGATGCTCTCCAGCCACAATACTGCAGGTGTCATGTCTCACAGACCTGGATGGAAGGAGTCAGGAAGAAGGTACAGGCGGCCCAGGACAGTCCACGTGTCCAGTCTCTATTCATCAAGAACATGGGGGCAGGACAGTGTGACAGAAGCTGTGGGACCAGGATGGGTTTTGTACACATCCCTGTAACCTCCTGAGCTCTTCTGGTGTTGGTCACATCATCCCCCTGCTTCCTTCCAGCGCAACCCCAACTTCAGGGTAAGCTTTCATGGAAGAGGCATCACTTAGTACTGAAGCCAGACTTCTCATAGCTGAGGCTCTGAACGGTCTGACTTTTCCGTCCCTGCATAAAGTGACATAAAGCTGCTTGGGACATGCCTACGTATGAGAAAGCAAGCGAGAGCAGTAAGGGTGAAACTGTGGCTGTGAGACTGCACAGACAGAGCAAGAGGACTTCAACAA